TATTTAATTAAAAAGTATATTTGCATCAGCAACATACATTTTGATCGCTGGTATTAAACTTTTGCATATATGTTATAAAAATTGCAATGTATATGAATTTTAAAGATATAAAACAACCTGATCCAAGATATACGCTCCAAAAAATGCAGCAAAACTTTCTTTCGACCAAAGTAACACATCATTACACCAATGAAATACCAATTGACGCGCTATCACGTGCGCAACTTCCCTTCGGCGTATAACGGAATGCAAGTCTTCATTATAAATAATATCTGCTTCCCTAAAAATTATTTTCAAGCAACATACTTACGTTGAATGTTTTTAATAATTGTAGAAAAGATTGATGTATTATTTTAAAAACGTTGTGTCCTTATTTCTACTTAATTTTAATAAACAAAGCATCACAGTTTGTTTATAAAATCAAGAGGTAACAAATGTTCACCTACATGACAGCATACAAGTGTATATTTAAATAAAAAAAACGACAAACGAAGAACACAAAGCAAGATTCGGCACACTTTGCAAAAAAGATGTCATGAATGAAAATGAGCTTAATGAGCTTCAAAAGAAACTTTCGATGAGTTCTCTCAATTTTAATAACAAAATTGATGCAATAAAAGACATCTTATAGCGATCGCTTTATTTGAACAGCGTAAAACAGTTATTTTGCACGCTTTTAGTAGTGAAAACCTGAATTAAAATCTGATTTGACGTATTATATAGTATGACGTATATATCAGATTTGACGTAAAGAATAATTATTTCAATTTTTTTTTAAATAAAAATAAATTTAAAAATAAAGTCGTAATTTAAAAATATAAATATAAGTTTAAAAATAAACACATAAGTTTAAAAATATTTTAGTGCATAATGCATGTGTCATTGTATGGATTTTGGTTGTTTCTTAATTAATATTTTGACATAAAAATATATTTATCTCCTAATTTTATAACATTGAGAGAACCTTATTTTTTTTCGATTTAAATGATTAATATTACCTTAGAAAAATGAGTCCCAATGTCGTAGTGTTATAGTCGTGACGATGCCAGACTGCAACAATATCTAATTTCGATAATTCTAGCATGTATTTTTCTTTAAAATATGGCACAACTTTTTCGAGAACATCTTTTGCATAAAGAACATATATCCAAACACTTGGTCTGCACCATATGGTAACATTTGCAAACTGACTAGAAACATTAGTAAATGTGGTTATCACAAACGATATCCGTTGCACAGGCATTGGTAAAGATTCGTCGAAGTCAGTCCACATCATGCTATTAGCAGCTTTATTTCGTACTCGAATAGGCATATTCGATAAAACTGTATATTTTTCGTCATGTTTGATGGCAATCTTAATTGTGGAATTGCTCGTTAACTCGTCCTTGCACGGAAAAAGTTGATGGGCCTTCATTACTTCGACACCTATTTGGTTCAACCTATAATATTTTGATGCTATAGTTTAGATAGAGGATATAATATTAATCATAATTTTATTGAAAATACAAAGATTTAAAAATCATAAAGAATCATATTTTATAATTCGTCTCGAGTGTGATGATTCAGAGTACACTTCTACGTCTGGGGAAATCGACAGATTTTTTGTGTACTTTTGCATGATGCTTTACCAATAATTTCTTAAAGTTCTTTTATAATGTAGTTTCTGGCAAGTTAATAGTGAACACAATAAAAATACTTGGCAAAGAATAATAACGTATAGTATTTACAATACAACGATATTTCAAATGTGTTTAACTTACATTTTATCTCCTAGTTTGTCTTGATATACAGATTGGATTGAATTTCTATCTTTATGTATTACACGCATATATGTCACGTTTAAAGTGTATGTATCAGGAGATACTTCTTCATCAAAATTAATAGTAAGAATGTTGTTATAGTTGGTGAATGAAGAAAATTGATACACACTTGTATTTTTATTAGCAATCAAGGTTGCTTCAATTATACGAATGGGTACGGAGTTTAGCTTTATATATTCCAATTGACGGCTAATGTTTATATTAATACTGCATTCACCGAATAAAAGATTGTCTTTAAAGTAAAGTAGTATTTCGACATTATAATGGAACGGTACTATAGTCGACAAATTAGAATTAATCTCGGTATATTTCGTATCATATTCCGTATTGTTAGCAACTTGTTTATATTCTGCATTGTTAGCAATTCGTTCATGTTTCGTATTGTTAGTTATTTGTTGATATAATTTTAAAATTTTGTTATATTCATTTGCATATTCATCATTATCTTTAGTCGACAAATTAGAATTTATCTCGGTATATTTGGTATCATATTCCGCATTGTTAGCATCTTGTTTATATTTAGTATTATTAGCAATTTGTTCATATGGCATATCGTTGGCAATCTCTTGATATTCTGTATTGTTAGCAATCCGTTTATATTTCGTTTTGTTAGCAACTTGGTTATATGCTGTATTGTTAGGAATTATTTTATGTTTTGTATTTTGAGAAATTCGTAGCAATATTTTTTTAGGTTCTGTATTGTTTCTATTCGGTATTGTAGCAATCCATACATGTTCTAACGTATTGTTATCAACTAGTTTATATTGTGTATGTTGTGTATTATTAGCAATTTGTCCATATTCTGTATTGTTAGCATTTGAAAGAGTAATAATTCTCATAGCGATTAACACTAATCCACCATTTAATAAAAATTTTTGGAGTGCCATATTAATGTAATTTTGAATTCCTATCTGTAAGAAAAACATTGTAGTTAGAAGAAAAGAAAAACATATGCAACATCCAGTCCTTAATTTTTATTAAAACAAGAAAAGATAAATATTGAAAAAAATTGCACTTATTTATGCCATAAAAAGATTGATCAAAAAGTTATGTAAGGAACATAATATACACTGAAAACTTTTTTTTAAACATAGAAGTAGAACGCAGAATATATAAAATATACATAATTTTTGAATATAAATATAATAACAGTAATTTTAATTTAAAAAAAATTTGTTTTACAGACAACAAGACTGTAAACGCATATATTTTCTTAGACGAATAAGATAGATTCAATTATTTAAAAATTGTTTCTTTAAGCTGGACGTTAATTATCATATATGTAGCATGTATATTATTTTTTAACAACAGAAATTGATAGTTTTTAAATTATTTTGTAGTTTGTTTGTTTTTCTCAGGAATATACTTAAAGTATGCAAAATATTATCCAAATTGTTTGAAATTGAAAAATATAACTGTTGATTTTAGAAATATCGAACTAATGCATTTCTAATAAATTTATGATAAATGTTAAAATAATTTCTTCGACGAATACAATTAATCATTGTGTATCTTGTCATGCAATGTAAGGATAAGAGGACAAATGTTAAGAGAAATATCAATGTCGGTAAATTTGAAATATGTGCTTTCGAGAAACTAAAACTATACGCGTGATTTATATGTATTCTTCTATATTTTAAAAGTGAAATATAGAAGAAATATAGAACAAAAATTATTTGTTGTTGGTTACTCACCTATATATATTAATTAAAATAGAAGTGTTTGTTGCAATGCGCAAATTTGTAAGAATAATACGTCTAATACCGCTTCCAATTGGGAACGTCAAGAGACATATCAACCTATTCGCGATATTTCCATATCAAACAATCATTGAACACTGAGGAAAATATCGGTGACATACACACTTTATGCCATGTAAACAGCGTTAAGAAGCTCACACTGAGCATGACGCTACTTATCGATGGATAAGAATAGAAATTAAAAAATGTAATGAACATATATACGTAAAGTACAAAAATTAAATTGCCACGCAATTGTGATATTGAATATATAATATTTTCAAATAAAATTAACGTTTTGTGTATATAATAAAATTAATCATTCATGACAAAAAAAATTAATTTATTCAATTTCTTTATTGACTGAGAGCGTAGATAGTCTTAGTTTTTACAATATAATACAAATACCTTATGTATTATAAAATTAAATTCTAATGAAAATGGGCTATTTTATCGTTGTCAGATGTCCGTCCATGTCCTTTGTATACGTATTTTAAATGATAATTGTTTTTGTCACTAACGTAATCCTTTTTCATTACTCATCAAAGAATGCAAATATCTGCGTTATTCAAAATTTATAGCATTAGAAATAGCAATAATATAAGGGTATTAAAAATAATTAAAAACAAAATTAAATAATTATAAATACTTAGATATTATTTAATAAAATCGAAGAAAGAGAATTACAACAATTACCGATACATCGATTATGGCTGAGAAACAGTGAAGTAAGTCTTCCACTGATCTTAAATGTTTCGCTATTTATTATATTTACTGATACTTAAGTAATACCCGTAGTTGTTGACAAGTCTTACGTATTCCAATTTTCGTTTCTTTATTTTTTTTCAACATCTCTTGCTATTTGATATCGCTTTTTCGATGAATATTTGGTTATCTAAAACAAATTTTTTAATAATATTAATAATATCAATTCAATAATATCACATACAGATCTCTACATTGCAATTTGATAGAGTACAGTGCATAGTATTGTATATATAATTCACATCAAATATGTCATATATGTAATAAATATATGTAGACATAAAGCTTTATATTTAGATACCAGGAAATGGGTATGTTAGTGTAAAGTGCAGAAAGCATACCTCGTTCATGTGCTTTTGCTCGTGCACATGTGTAATAATTACAATGAATCGTTGCAATTAAGTCATTTTTCCTAAAAAAACAAAGTAAAAACTAAAAAACTGATAAATTTAATAGTTGTAACAAATATTAATAATTAATTATTATAATATAATAAATGATTAAGAAATATATACAGAGACGTATATTTAAAGAAAAATGTTGTTACCTATTTGAATCGAAAGTAACTTCTTTAACAATATTGAAAATAAAATTATACAGTTCAACTTTTTTTGCATGTTTTGCAACACTAAAAAAAAATGCATTAACATATTTGGGCTGAGCTCTGCGCTGTATTAATCCGTTAAATAATGGCGAATGATAGCAAGATCTCAGAGCAAGATAGGTATTCTAAAATTTTTACATCAAACGTTGCATTCCATTTCTTCCATATCTCGTTCCAAATAGTGTGGTTCATTGGTATTAAATTATGACAGTATGTTCGTTTCATCTCCATCGAATTTCTGCATTACAAAAATATCTTATTGCTACAAATTTGCTTACATTTTGAAATTTTAATTATAAAATAATTTATTCAGTATGATACAAAAATGCAACAACATTCTGATGAAATAAATATTATACTTATAAAGTAGCTTACGAGTTGTCTTCAGAATATTTAAACTCTTCTAATAATTTCGAAGCAGCATTTCTTCGGCACTCAGAAATATCAAGAATACATGCCCATTTTACAGCTTCTTGTCTTAAATATATAGTGAGAGTATGGTCTGTCCATTCGTCAAAGTATCCTATTTTTGTAAGAAGTCCATCTATTCTGTTTTTCATTGTTTCCTAAAAATTGTTAAACTTCAATTTAACACTTGTTTATTTTCGTTTATTTAATTATATTTTTATTTCATTTAGTATGTAAAATGTTAACTTTTTTATGGAAATCTATCATTACCTACCATTATCAAATTACCATATTCAAGTGGAAACATACAAGTAAAAGATTCGAAAACTCTGAGTCGGAGA